AGCCCCCCTGGCCTCTCCCACCCCTGGCCAGGAGTTGCTGAGACCCCAGTCCCCTCCCTCTGCAGGGAGGAGGCCGAGGTGACCCCCAGGTCCCTCTGACCTTCCTGCCGGCACTGAGGCTCGGGAACGCACGGGACCCTTACTAGTACCCATGCTGGGGGCAGCACAGAGGGACTGAGTGCCGAGCACCCCAGCGCCCAACCTTCCGCCTGTGAAGGTGACCGCGCTCAGCCCGGTTGGTGCGGGCTCATCCTCACTGTCTCCCGCCAGGGGGCGCATGCTCTCGCTTTGTCCCATTACCGAGGACGGGTCACAAGGTGACACCTGCCGGCCTTTCGCAGCGTCCTCCCTTTGTAGTGAATTAGTATTTTCCGGGTTGGCGCTTTGAGACCGTGCCCCATCTTCTTCCTAATCAAACTTCATTTATATGCATATGGACGGACAAGCCCTAGTTCAAGGAATTATAATGCATTATTTTGATCATTTATTTTAACGGCTATACCAGTGAGAGACACTTCAAGTCCACTTTTGTTTTTTGAGACAAGGTCTCAGCATGTAGTCCGGGCTGGCCTTGGACTCACTATGCAGTCCAGGCTGGCCTCAAACTCATGGCGATCCTCCTGCCTCAGCCTCCTGAGTGCTGGGATTACAGGTGTGCGCCTCCACGCCAAGCTCCTGCTTCTGGTCTTACCGACCACCTGATCCCTGCCCTCCTTGGTCTCTGATTTCTCTGTGCAGAGACGCCCATCCTGGTCTTTGAGAGACCACCTCTCTTTGGCTACATCGAGGTTGGAATACTGGGGGGTCAAATGCCAGGCAGCCCTGAGCTTGGCCTTGCCCCTCTCAGGAGCCCCTGCCAAGCCCCCAAGTCATAGCAGCTCAGTGTGGGGGCCACCGAGTCCGGGTGAGGCCCCAGGGCACCCACTTGGGGACCAGGAGCCGGAGGCCCAGGTGGAGCGGCTGAAGATCCTTCTATCTGAAGGAAAAACACAGGTCGTATTTTCAAATGACAGCTCAGAAGTCGCTCCCTGGCAGAGGGTCTGCTGTGCAGCCACACAGTGGCTCATCCAGTCTGCAGGGCCAGGGAGGGGACAGGGACAAGAGAGAGGCTGTCGTCTGCTTTATGGCAGGGTCTGTGTTTATCACATCTGGCAGGTGGCTTTGCCTGGAGTCTTACAAGAACTTTCAGGAAATTGTGCCAATTTGAACCCGGGCTCCTGGTGGCCTTTGGGCCCCAGGCCACCCAGGCACTGGCACAAGGGAGCCACAGCTGGGGGTTATGGCAGCTGGCTCCAGGCCGTAAGCCTGTGCTCCCTGGGTCCAGGCCTCATGAGGCCTCTGTGGCCCACAGGGCAGGTGACAGCAAGGGGGCACTGACCACTCTGCAGGGCCGGGCCTGGCTCAGGTTCCGGGAGCCGGGGGAGGGCAGGAGCTACCCGAGTTAGGGGGCTCCCCCGGGGGCCTGTGCCTGTGACACCAGGGCCCAGAGGGGACATGATGGCCCCACACTCACCATGTCCTCGGTACCCACTCCCAGTGCCGCCCCTTCCGGATGGAGTGGCGTCCATGCTGCCCTCCCAGGACCCCCCAGTGCCCCAGCACCATCCTGGCCTGACACCCTGCCATCACCTGCACCTGTGTCTTCCCCTGTCCCCAAGCCAGGAGCCCAGGGCTGCCTTATCCCAAAGCCAAGCAACAGGGCACCAGGCAGCTGCCTGCGTGGTGACATGAAGTTGCCCAGCAGCATCCACTCAGCTCCTGAATAGCACCCCACCCCGGGGGAAGCACCCGGAACCCCACCGTGGGTCTCTGCCTAGGTCCCCGAGGTGCACCAGAGCAAGGGCTCTCACTCCCTGTGTCTGGCCGTGGCTGGAAAGGCCTGCGGGCAGCTGAGCTTCGGGTTGGGGGCCCCCTGGGATTGAAAGGAAGCCTGGAACCAGCTGCCAGAATCGGGTTCAGGTCAGAGCCAGTATTTGCAGGGCTGGGGAGCTGGAGGCACCTCGGTGACTGAATGAACCCCAGGAAGCCAATGCCTGAGGTGGCCCCCAAGACCTGGCTCACTCACTCACTGAGAGCCAGGTGTGCACCGGGGAGGGGACCACAGGGACAGGCAGGGGTCCTTCCTCTAGCTGGGGTGGGAGGGATGTCACAGCAAATCACAGTTTGCTGTGGAAAAAGAGAACCCCACCTGCCTGATCTCAGCCAGGGTCCAGCACCCGCCATTAAACCTGCATTCACTGGATGCACGGATGGACAGATGGATGGATAGAGGGATGGATGGATGATAGGTGGGTGGGTGGGTGATGGACAGATGGATGGACTGATCGATGATGGATGGGTAGATGAATCAACGGGCCCATGAATGATGGGTGAGTGGGTGGCACACTCACGTGCAGCCTGGCCACCGCCATTCTGCAGAGCAGCCACTCAGCAGCCAGCCTGCTGCACCCCTCCCTCTAGGATCCCTGTCACCCCGCCACCCCGTGGGGATACCCTGGAGTCTCCTATAGTTGCCTGGCTAGAACGGGGCATCTGCTCCAGGTTTGTTTAGGGCAGAGGCAAACTTCCCATCAGCCCCAGGAGGAAAGGTCCAGGAGCCCTCACCTCACCTCGGGAATGAGGACCATGTGGGCAGCTGGGGTGGGCGGCAGGGGGCAGGGGTCCAGCTGGGGCCCCAGAGGAGGGAGCTGGGTCAGGCGGGCTGACTGGGAGCTGTGGCCAAGGAGGGCTCCAGCCAGGGCTGGGGTCAAAGGCAACTGGCTGCTGTGGAGGCACAACCGCTCCCCAGATCGGCCGGGATGGAGGGGCTAGAGGACCCCACACAGGGCCTGGGCACCCCGCTGCCCACCCCTGGACCTGTGGCCAGGGTACCAGGCCCTGATGTGCCCCCCTGGCAGCTTCATTATGGAGAAGGGCTGGGGGCTGGAACACAGCTTCTCCAGGCAGCCCCAGGTGTCCTGGAGTCAAGGCCCAGAGGACACACCCAGAACTGCCTCCCTACAAAGAGGAGGCCTGAGCACAAGAAAGGGAAGCTGAGGGGCGTGAGCAAAGGGACACCTAGGTGGGGACAGCTTTCTGGGGCCTGCAGGCCTTGCTGTGTGTAGACAGGAAGTGCAGATGTGGGTGGAGGGAGGCTGCGACCTGGCTGGTACACTGGCTGCCTCTGTGTCACCTGAGGTCCTGCTCTGTTAGGAGGAGGGCTTTGCTCCTCACCTCGAGTCCACTGGTGTCTGGCTGGCTTTGGTGGTCACCTGTGCCCTCGGCTCCTTGACTCCTGTGCAGGAGGGAGGCTGAGGCAGCGGTGGTCATGGGATTTCCCGGGCACCTGACGGGCACTTCCCGTAGGGAGGAGCCAAGGAAAGCAATGCCCTGCACTCGGGTTTGTTTTTTGTGCTTGTGGATATGTCCCCTCCCTCCCAGCTCCCACTGAGGCCACAGGGGACAGGGACATGGGGGGCGGGATTCACCCTCCCCGAGAGCTGGGGCAGGCCAGCCGTGCCGGGTGCTGGGCAGGCCAGCATGGCAGAGATGAGGTCACCTCTGGGATTACAGGTGTGGGCGGAATGGCCCACACCTGTAATCCCAGCACAGGAGGCTGAGGCAGGAGGATGGCTGCGTGTTCGAGGCCAGCCTGAACTTTATCATGAAATCCCGTCTTTAAAAAAAAAAGCCTCAACCCCAAAACTGTGGTTTCTCTGAAAACGGTTCATATTAAGAAAAAGAAAACCAAAACTGCAGTGCCCCGGACCAAGCAGCCAGGGCTCCCGTCCTGGCCTTCTCCAAAGCAGCCGGGGCCTCCGTCCTGGCCTTCTCCAAGCAGCCGGGGCCCCCGTCCTGGCCTTCTCCAAGCAACCAGGGCTCCCGTCCTGGCTTTCTCCAAGCAGCCAGGGCTCCTGTCCTGGCCTTCTCCAAGCGAGGCTGCGCCACACACTGGCAGGGCTCCCTCCTTCCAGTGGACCCAGCACAAGCAACAGCGCTCAGGGCTGTGACACAGCTGGTGATCGTGTCTCAAGGTACGTGTGGTGCGGATGCATTTGGCCACTCGTGGGTACTGGGGTTCAGGAGGGGCTCAGGGAAAATGGAATGAGGCTGACACCCCCCAGTACATCCTTGGACTCTGCTGCCCGCCGGTGGCCACCCTCAGTCCCCATGGCACTGAGATGATTGCTGGGTCCTGGGTGCAGAGAAAGGGGGCCTGGGTCACTCTGGTTGACCACTCTGGGCCTGAGCAGTCACCAAAGATGAGAACCCTGGGCGTCCAGAGTGGCCTGGCTCACACGGCCCATTCCTGCGACCAGGACTTCCCAGAACACACCCCAAGACTCCACCAAGGGGACGGACACCAGGCGGCCTCTGCCCCTTCAGGGCACTAGTTGGGCCGCTGACCTCAGGGTGACCACAGGGAGCCCACAAGGCCTCATGCAGAACAGAGGTGCTTCTCCATCTCCCCAAAGCTGGGCCGACTCTCAGGAAGAGCGCTGGCTCCATTCCCAGGAGGGTCTCGGCCCTCGGGCGACACTGCAGTCCCTGGGGCTGCTGGCCCAGCATCTGCCGCCCACCGGTCCCTCTCTCGGGGTGCTCCCTCCCGGTCCCCCACAGCGGCTCTGGCTCTTCCCACCCCCTTGGGCTCAGGGTCCCAGCCCGAGGCCCCCGTTCATTAACCAGGGTGGGCTCACGGCTCCTGCTGCTCCCCGACTTCCTGCAGCCCAGGTCCTCTGCGCCCTTTGTGCCAACCAGCGGGCCCCTGGCCCCTGCACCAACCTTCACGCCTGGACCCAAGTTTGATTTAATGATGGCACTGACAGAGCTCCCATCTCCCTCTGGGGCCTTCTGGGTGTTCACCTTGTGGGTCAGGGGGCTCTGGGGAGGTGGGGGGAGCTCCCTGGACCCCGGCGTAGCTGTGTGCATCTGCCCCGCTCCCTCTGCCTCCAGGGCAACAGCAGAGCCCAGGCCTGTGCCCCACTGGGCTCCTGCTCCCCAAGAAAGAACTACCCAGAGCATGGCTTTTGGCAAAACAGTTTTATTGTTCCAAAAAATAAATGTTACATCTGACATACAAAAAGGCATTTTAAAAACTGTTTTAAAAAGGCATCTATTGGGTCAGGTGTGGTGACGTACTCCTATACTCCCAGCACTGGGGAGGCTGAGGCAGGAGGATCATTTGCAAGTTCAAGACCAGCCTGGGATACAAAATGAGCCCAAGGCCAGCCTGAACTGCACGGCAAGACCGTCTCAAAAAGACAAAAAAAAAAAAAGTATCCGTTCTCAGGGTCTTAGCATTTTAACTGAGAAAAACCCCAGCACCCGCTGGCTGCTGGGCACTGGGCAGAGGCTACCACTCTGTTCTTCCAGACCCCAGGCTGCCTGCTGAGGGGCAGAGAGCAAAGATGTGACCCAAGAAGCCACAAGCCGGCCCTGGACCTCTGCAGGCGCCACGGCTCCTACCTCGCACGTGGGCCCTGGTGACTTCCCAGGCTCACCCCTGAGGCCGGAGCTGGGAGGAGCCCACTAGACTGCCCGTGACACGCCAGGGAAACTGAGGCAAGGGGGTTTGCTGACCAGCACACCAGGGCCCTTCCTGCTGCACATGTGCCATCGTCACCCGATGGCTCTAGCCATCATTGGAAATGTGTCTGCAGGTCCCCAATGCTCCTGTCCAGGGCTGGCATCGGTGAGCTGGGGTCCCCGGAGCCACTCTCTGTCCCCTACCTTGAGCGCTGAGCACCCGGGCTGTGACATCCCTGAAGACATCCACACGCATATCAGGAAAAAACCCACGTGGCTGCAGACCCACGCCCCCACCACCTCCACCAGAATGAGCTCCAACCCCAGCGCAGCGAGGCCCAGAGAGAGGTGCTGCCTGCCCAGGCTTGGGTGTCCCTTCAGGCTGACAACCCTGGTGCCGTCTCAAGGGCCACCAGCCCTTGCCGGAGTCAGCAGACCCTCATGGGCCAGATGGCCAGTAACAACTGGAAGCAGCAGGCATTCAGGCCCCTCTACGGTCTCCCTTCCGTGTGGGTCAGCACTACGGCCACCACCCCCGCCACCCCTGTGCCCTCCCTCACCGGCAGCCTTCTCTGTTGTAACTGAGCACATTTTTTTTTTTTTTTTAAATCGGGAATGGAACTCAGGACCTCGCACTTTCCAGGCAGGCGCGTGTACTGCTGAGCTGTATCCCCAGCCCTCCCTGGGGGCAAAGTGGGGAGAGACCAGCCGAGGCCACCAGGCTTGCACGGAGGCAACATGGCGTGGATTTTATTGGCCTAGGTGCAGGCAGACGGGGTTGGGGGGACCTTCTGTGTGAGACAAAGAGGAGCAGGCCGGGGACCTCAGGTGGGAAGATGTTCAAGGACATCCGTGGTCAGAGTTCTCTGGCGGTCTTGCGCCTCAGTGGGCGGAGTCCTTGAAGAGTCCAGTGTAAATTTTTGGTGTCCCCAGATGTCTCAGGCCCTGCAAAATTTCGTGTCCTTTCATCTCCTACATGACATCCTGCCCTTGCTGGTGACAGCTGTGGTTCTGAGCTCCCTACGGAGAGCGGTGTCTCTGCTGGCAGGCAGGTGGGGACTTGGGGGAATCCGGTCCAAGTGGAGCCTTAGCCTGTGTCCAGCTCCTTCCGTGCACCACTGCTGTGGCCCGAGGCCTGCAGGAAGATGGCCCTGCTATGTAAGACAAGATGTGACCCGGCAGGGTGGTCACAGTTGGCAGTGGAAAACGTGGCTCTGCCTGACAGCTGCATGCTGGGCCGCGGCTCCAGGAGGGTTTCCGGGAGCTCCTCTGCCCCCCTCTGTCCCACCAGGCCCGGAAGAGAAGAAAGGGTGCAGAGAATCAAGGGAACCCCAGACCGAGGCCGCGCCCTGCCGGCGCCAGCTCCGAGCCCTGGCTAGCGGACACTCAGAGGTGTAGGGAGCTATCAGCCTGGGCCTTAGGAAGCTCTTATGCTGCTGGTTTGGGGCCCAAGAGGAAAAGCAAGACAAAAAGTGGGGGAAATCAGCAAGATGAGACTCTGACTCAAGGTAACAGGAGGATTCGCCCCACATCCCAAACCAGAACCCAGCTCTCCACAGCCCAGAGAGCCCCCCGGTTCCTCCTCCACCATGGCTGGGGATAACATGTTGCTCCTGGTGTGCACATGGGCCTGGTCCCCCAGGACAGGGGACCCCCCGGCCATTTACTGCATCTGGGTCCCTCCCCGCCAGAGCCTTCCTGCGGCAGCCAGGCCAGGCAGAAAGCAGGACAAGGGTTTTTTCCATCTCTGTCCCAATTCACTTTAGTGGGTTGCAAACAGCATTTTTTTAAAAAATGAAAAACAGAAGGTCAGGGGCACCCGGATGTGGGGGAAGAACTCCTTTGCAAAACCTGCTTTAGATGCAGATTTGTGAACAGCTGTGACTGACTGGTGGCCCCTCTCCTCTCTACCCAGAGAGACGCAGCAAGGGTCCTCTGCATCGGACTAGGACACTCTGAGGCTCAGTGCTATTCAGGAATGGTGACATGGTGCCTGTCCACCCTTCTTTCTGCAGCAATCCCGGCATCACTACTAAAGGACAGATGGGCAAAGGCTGGGACGGAGGATGCTGGCAGGCTGACCACGGAATCGAGGGTATCGCACACCTGGTCCTGTGGCAGTGTGTGTGTGTGCGCGCCCTCAGGTGGCCAGAGGTGGAACTGCCCAGGCACCACCTGTGTCCCCAACCCCTTCCCGACCAGGGCCCTCTCAGGCACAGAGATGTCCAGGGACCCCAGTCGCTGGGGGCCAGGATAAGCAGGGTTTGAACAAGGTTCCTTTCCTAAGGAGCCTGGCTGGGCCCTCACACAAGTCACCAAGAAAAAGGGAGAATTGGTTTCAATGTACGGCCAGGGAGAGAGCCGGTCGGCAGATAAAACTCTGCAAGAGCCTGTTTCCCTGTGCAGTGGGACACAGCCCAGGGACAGCCACACACAGACACGGCTTGGCTGTGCGGAGCCCTGGGTCTGGGAGTTCTGCTTTGTGGTTGGCTTCATTAAAAAGAATTTCAGAACCTCTGTGGAAGGATTTAGAAAAAGGTGCTGCTGGCCCACGGCTTCCAGGGAGCAGGGGACCCTGGCCAGGCAGGTGGAGAGGCTGCCGCTTCCTCCCCGGGGTTTCAGGCAGGGGCGAGGGAAAGGGCTGGGGACCCCAGACAGGAAGTCACCAGGCTCGAGCCCCAGGCTGCCCAAGTATTTAGAGGTGGGCTGGCTCTACTCCGTCCCCGCTGGCCAACTGAGCCCCCAGAAAGAGCTGGAGTTGTGGCCACCCTAGCGGGAGACCTGGCTGGCCAGTGGGATATCAGATACCTGAAGGCCCAGTGACACCTGATGTCAAGTGTTCCCCCCAGATTCCAGTGGATCTTTCCTGCTACAACCAGTGGCTACACCAGGCAGCCCCAAGACACAACACCCTCTTGAATCAGGGTCCCTGGGATGCCCCGATTGTGTGTACCCCATGTTTCCCGGGGGAGACACCCAAGAAGGAGGAACAGGCTGAGAAGCTGGGGAACCAGGCCCCTGCCCCAGATTGAGTGGCTCTCAATAAGAGAAAAGGAGCCCCCCAACATCAGTCTGGAGACTTGGGGTGCCTTTTTGACATCTCAGTTACCTCTCTGCAGAAAGAAAGCTGAGGGACAGCAAGGAACAGGAAGGGACAGAGGACCCAGAGGCAGAGCAGAGCTGCTGCCAGGTAAGGACCGAAGGCAGGCTGTGTGCACAGAGGCCGGATGCCGGCGACAGGAAGGGCGGCGTGGGGGCAGCTGGGGGCCAGCTTGGGGCACTGTGCCCATGGGGCCTCCACGCCCTTCTCGACAGCAACCCAAGGGACAGTTCCGGCCCAGCCCCTCCCGGGCCCCCACGTTCCTGCTTCTCGGCGGGAGCCTTCTCCTCCTCCTCCTCCTTTCTTTTTCCAATTTGTAATTTTTGGCAGTGCTGGGGGTGGAACCCAGGGTCCCACAATGCCAGGCAAGCGCCCTCCCCGAGCTGCGCCCTCAGCCATGCCAGGCTTACTTTGCTGGTGGATCCCGGTAAGCGTCCTCTCCTGACCCAGAGCAGGGCTCCACGTCTCCAGCTTCTGCGTCTCTCCCACCCCCAAAGCCAGGAGGGAGTGACCGTCAGAGGGGCTGGGACAGGGCTCTGTCCTCGCCTCTCTGGGTTCTCATCTCAGCTTCCAGCGAGCAGGGACACACGGGTGGGGCAGGCGGGGCACAGGAGGGGGGCAGGACGGCAGGTTCAAGGAGCCCCAAGAGTGACCAGGGCAGGGACGTCCATCATCCCAGGAAGGCCTCGTAATCCATGTACCAAACCAGCTGGCCAGAGCTCGGCAGCACGCCCGAGATGGGCCACTTCTTGGGCTCGCGGCCCACGCGGCTCACCAGCATGGTGATCTCACGCTTTGTCCGGCCCATGACCAGGACGGCCACCTTCTTAGCCCGGTTGATGAGCGGCAGGCTGAGGCTCATGCGCTGGTACGGCCTGAGGGGGCTCTGGGTCAGCACCACCAGCTGCTCGCCGTCCAGGCCCGTGGGTGATTGTGGGAAGAGGGAGGCCGTGTGCCCGTCGGTGCCCATGCCCAGCAGCACCAGGTCGAAGCTGCTGTTGGCCACCAGGGCCATGATCTCCCCGGCGTAGGTCTGGGCGCCCTGGTCCTCCTCGGCGCACAGCCGCTGGCGCAGGTGCACGGGCATGGGGTGGATGTTATAGTAGGGTACGCGGATGTGCTGCAGCAGATGGGCCTGTAGACCCTGGAAGTTGGAGTCCGGATCCGACAGCGGAACGCAGCGCTCGTCCACCAGCCACAGGTGCGTGTGGGCCCAGGGAAAGCCGTAGTGGCCCGTGGCCAGCTGCTGGAACAGGGCAATGGGGCTGGAGCCGCCTGACAGCGCCAGGTGGAACTTGCCAAAGCGCCGCACGGCCTGCACGGCAGTGGCCTCGATGTCGCTGGCCAGCTTGGAGATCAGTTCCTCAGGCCAGGCTGAGATCAGCGGGCTCTCTCGGTACCTGGTCCCGAGGACCTGGAAGTCGCTGGGTTTCATGGTCAACCCTGGCCCCGGCACCAGCTGCTCGGGCTGCTGCTGGGAGAAGGACAAGTGGCCACCGTTAAACTCGAGATCCAGGAGGTGGCCGGTCTCTGCTCCACCTGGATAGAGGCGCGGGGCCTCGTGGGCCAGGCTGTCCAGCAACGGGGTCCAGAACACCCAGGAGGCCAGCAGGTTCTCCGTGGTGATGAAGGACTCCTTCCGGCAGTGGAAGATGTGGGACAGGAGGATGGAGTAGGCCTCTCGCTCCCTCACGGGGCTGTAGGCATAGAAATCGGACAGGGGGCGGCCAAACACCCGGAGCCCAGGCCGCTCCTGCACTTCTGTCCAGCCCTGTGCGGGCAGGGTGGGCCTGAACAGGTTCCGGCTGACCAGGATGGCGGGGTGGCCCAGCTCACCGTGCCCGATATGGAAGATGATCTGCCGTGGCAGACACTGGCTCTGCTCCGGGGCCCAGTGCCCCTCGCGATGGACGCAGAACGCCTTGTTTTTGAACAGGACCCGCACGTAGCCCACTCTCTCGTCCAGGGCCTTGCCGGACATCAGGAGGAAGGGCACGCCCTCCCAGCGCAGGTTGTCGACGTGCACGAGGACACCTGGTACAGGGAGAGAGCAGAGGGTGATGATGTCCCAGCCTGCTGCACCCCGGGGCCTTCAAGAGCCCCTGGCATCTATAAGCCTCTTCCCAACTGGTGCTCAGAAACTACCTGTGGGTGAGACACCAGATCCCCCAGGTCCCTAAGAACCCCACTCCAGCTGGGCTATGACTTGGAGACTCTAGGAGTCCCGGACCGTGTGGGGGAGATGGGCGGGGATCCTGATGCCTGGGGGCTGAGGGGTCCTATGGGGACAGGGCTCCCCTCCTGTTTGGGACACCAGAAGCAAGGTCAGGTGTCAGGCAGGGAGCAGCAGGGATGCGGGGAAGGAGATGGCAAAGGGTATACATGCGTGTGGGCATGCAAGTGTGTGCACATGAGTGTCATGTCTGATGGCATTAAGAGCCAGTCCCATGCCCAAGGTCCGAGCCAGGCCTCTGGTCTCCTTGCCTGTGCGAGGAGGTGACGCTGGCCCCTGCCTACCCCATGGGTCTGTGCGTGAGGACAGAGGTGACCAGCACATCTCAACTCTGTGGGCAGCTACTGCCCCCGTGGGTGGTCACTACCTTCTCCCAGAACTCACTGAACTTCGGGAGCCATCCCAGAGGCCGCTCTGGGGGGCCATCTCCCCACAGGGTCTCCATCTGTGGCCATGCAGTGTCTGCCTACTTGGGAGGCTGGACGGGAGCCCCACGAGGGTCAGCCTGCCCTGTCCTCGCAGGCAGAACCTTCCGGCAGCCTCCACAGGCTTGACCACCAGTGGGAGGCCGGGTGCCCAGAGAGTCCACCAGGTGCCCTGCAAACTGTAGTCGGCCCAAGGAAGGTGACAGTGCCCTAAGCACTCTGATGCCAATCCCACCTCTGGCCCCTCTGCCCGGCAGCTGGCACCCCGGCGGGCCCACCCGGAGCGCACCTGCGAAAGTGGGCGTCAGGCTGTGGAAGCTCTCGGGCTTCTGCAGCTCCCCGCGCACCTGCGCGCTGTAGGCCTGGTACTGGCCCACGACGGCGCTGCCCTTGTGCAGGCCCCGCAGTGCTCGGAAGGCCTGGAGCTTGTGCTGCAGCACGGCCGCTGAGCTGCTGACGTTGTGGGGCAGCTCCATGGCCACCAGCGTGAGGATCTCCGTCAGGTGGTTCTGCAGGATGTCGCGGATGACGCCATACTCCTCATAGAAGCTGGTGCGACCTGGCGGGAAGGGGTGTCATCAAGAGGGTCCCTGAGGTGCTGCAGGACCCCCCACTCGACACACTCGTCCTGGCATCTGAGAGCCCAGAGCTGGGGGCTATGCCACAGCAAACCACGGGGTAAGTGTGGGGAGCTGCGGGGCCACCTCCCTTCACAAGCACATCTCGAGAGACGGCGGCGGCGGGGCCTTGGGCCTCGGGGGATCAGTGTGGGAAAGGTCTCACCCCAGACTGCACTGGCAGGTGGATCCCAGGTTCCCAGGCTCGCACCTCTACCCTGGCCCCTGCTCGAAGGGCTCAGCACAGGCATCGTGGGGACAGATGGACGCCAGGTCACACTGTTACTGTCTGGTGCGAGATCTCGGGCAGGTGACTTAACTCCAGCTTCTGCATCCTGCCGTTAGGCTGGGCTCGCAAAGGCCACCAGACCAGAGCACACTGGAGCAGGGGAATGTGCCAGGGGCCGGAGGGAGGGAAAACAGGAAGCAGGAAAAAGGAAGGAATGCGACCTCAGTAGCTCTCCCCAGGGTGATGGGCGGTCAGAGGACACAGCACGGGCTGGCACAGCGACCCCAGGGCCCACTGCCACCTGGTGCGACAGAACCCCTACCCCATGCCGCGCTGCTCAGCACAGCAATTCCACATGACAGCCACCTGCTCAACCTGCTGTCCCCAGCGGAAGGGTCAGGCGGCCAGGGCTGGGAGGGCAGGACCACCGCACCGCGCACCATCCTCCCAGGATGGAGCTCCATGGCCAGCGACTCCAGCATGGACAGCATGTCCCGAACTTGGGGCTCAGACTCACACCAGATCCCGCAGTGCAGCGCCACTGCAGACACCCAACCTGGTCACCACGTCACCCACTGAGAGTGCTGACACCAAGCTGAGGCCCTGAGTTTGGTCTCCAGCATCAGGGGAGAAAAAATAAGATCAGAGAGACAGAAAGATCTGTACCTGGACACAGAGAGTGTGAGAGTCCCCATAAAAATTAAACAGTGGGTCACAGAGGGTTACGGTCAGGGCCACACACAGAGAAAAGGAATGGTCACATCTCCCGGCGTCACCATGAGGATTAATACACACACAGGCTGGGCAGGGTACCTGGCACTTGGAAGCCAGGAATTTCTTTATGATAATGGCTGGTAGGAGAGAGGCCACCAGCCAGGCGACCCAGGGGACCCTGCGCATCCAGGAGCACAGTGTGGAGGAAGAGATGCACTGGGAATGCAGCTCGGTGGCCAGCGTTTGCATAGCATGGATGAGACCCCAGGGTCACCCCAGACCACCATCCAACAGAAGTAGGCAGAGTGGCTGGTCTCTCACGAGCAAAGTACAAGGATGCTCTCGTTCTGCAGACTGAACCGGTGTAGTCTGGCTAAAGGAATCTGGAGGATCACCGCAGGGCTTGGAGGAAACACCAAAGGCCGGCGTGAACTGGACCCTGCCCAATCGGAATCCCCGCCCGCCAAGGTGGCAGTCAGTTATTACACCCACGAGGGGGGACCGGGCCGGCCCGAGCGCAGAGCCCAGCGGCCCAGCACTGTCCTGAGCATGGTCCTGACTCCTCCAATCCCCAGGACTGCAAAGAAAGCAAAAAGCAAAAAGGGAGAAAGAAATGGGTTACTGATCCACCTCAGTCACCACTTCCAAACAGTATGCTCTACACAGTCAGCCTGAGAGGACAGTTAGAGCTCTAAAACCACCCGCGCTTCAGACGCACAGAATACAGCAGAGTCCCGAAGAGCCCGCGGTCTGCTTACCAGCGCATCCCCGGGGCCCTCTGCTATTTTTCCCCTCACCTCCCCTGCTGGGCCGGGGTTTGCTACCCGCTGGATGGAACAGGGCTCTGGGGTGCGCCTGTGTTTAGCGTGGTCTGGGGGCGCTCGGCTCTGCGCCCACCTTCTCCGAGTGTAAGTGCAGGGGTGGTGGCTGGGCCTGGCCCGGGATGAGGCCATACGTACAGATTCCAGTCACCAGCGGTGCCTGGGGACAGATTCTTTTCCTAAAACTGACCTTACATGGGCCCCCGTCTCCTCTCCTAGGTTGAAGGTTGAGAGCAAAGGTCCAGCAGAAAAGTTTGGACAGAGAGAGAGAGAGAGAGAGAGAGCCCATGAACTTGGGTACAGAACAAGTCAGAGGTCCCAGGAGCCCCTCAATCCCACCACAGGATCCAATGAGACCAGAGAGCAATGGCAGGCAGCGCCCTTCCCCCTGACCCTGCCACAGAAATGTGTTTCCAGGGCCACAACATTTTAATGTTCATAAATGTAGAATAGATGCTGGTTGCACAACTCAGTAAATATACTAAAAACTACAGAGTCGGATGTTTTTAAAGGGTGAATGTCTATGGCGTGTGAATTTTATCTCAATTTTTACAAAAGCTGAGAAGACACTGTTTAAAATAGAAACAATTAGAAACCACCAAATACCTAATTATAGTGTTTCCACAACAGAGTAAATTAGAGAGTTTATTCTGGGACATACATAAAAACAACAGAAATCTGAGCTAGGGAAAAACATATTAAACCGACCGTCAAGAGGTGAAGATTTAAACTCGGTGTGGTGGCGCATGGCTGTGATGCCAGCACTCGAGAGGCTGAGGCAGGAGGATCACTGAGAGTTCAAAACCAACCTGGGGCCAGGGATTTAGCTCAGCGCCATAAGCACCTGCCTTGCAATTGCATGGTCATGAGTTTGATCCCCGGTACCAAAAAACAAAACAAAAAGCACAAGGAAAAACCAGCCTGGGTACAAAGTGAGCTCAAGGTCAGCCCGAACTGCATAGCGAGACCCTGTCTCAAAAAGACAAAAATAAATAAATACAATATTTAAACACCTACATGCGTGTGTGAGGAAATTAGGTAAGGTCACACATCAAGACCATGACAGCAGGTAAGGTCTCACTGTCCTGGCCTGTGCCTGGCTGATGGAACACTCAGGTGCCCGGCTCCTTGCAAACCAGGGTGGGAGGGGTGTTTCCATGGGGAAGGAGGCCCCGGTTATCTGAGTGAATCCTCCCCATCCTCCAGAGAAGCCCTGGGCGTTCTCCGCCTCATGCCAAGGTCACGGAGGTCACCGCCTTCTGCTCCAGGAGACCTGGGTTTCCCCAGTAAAAACAACTATTTTAAAAAAAAGAAAGAAAGAAAGAAAGAAAAACAACTAAAAGCCAGCGGCGATCCTCTGGGATCACTAAAAATAGAGAGCAGAGGGGCCAGGGGAGAGGCTGGCGTCTGCGGCTCACTGCACTGCGAGGGGGCACGCTGCCCCTGCCCGCCCCCTGCCCGCCCCGCAGCTGACCGAGGGGCAGATGGGCCCGGAAGGGGCTGGCCGTGCTGAGCAGGGTCCTCCTGGCCCACGGGCCGAGGGAGGGACAGGTGGTGTGACCTAGGGGGCCCCTGCCTTGTCCCTGTGTGCGAGGCAAGGCGCGGTCACCCCAATCCTCGGAGGGGACCGAGGACCTTGCTCCTCTCCCAGGGCGGGGACAGGGACTGTCCTCAGCAGGGAGACCCTTGTCGAGCCTCCTGCCTGAAAAAGGCTTCTGCCCAGGGTGCAAAGTGTGGCAGCCCAGTGGGGGGCCAGACCTCTGCCAGGAAAGCCCTGGCTCCTCCCGCATTACATGCTTAGGGCTGACCAGGGTCATGGCCACAAACGGGTCTCGGCCATGCTTATGGCCCACCTACTGCACCAGGAGCCCCTGGCCAAGGGGCCCAGGGGCTAGGGCTGCTGGGAAGAGCCCAGGGACAGACTGCTGTGGCCAACAGCGGTGCCCTCACCCTGCTCTCCCTCCTCCTCCCCCCCCTTCTTGCCCCTCCTCCTCCTCCTCTCCTCCCCCAGCAGAGCAGCAGCCTGGACTCTGCAGCAGTCTCCCTGGCCAGAGGCTGCAGCAAAAGAAAAAAAAGAAAAAAAAAGAAAAAGCCGCAGAGGGGAGAGAGCCGGGGAAGCCGCTGCCACCGTTTGGATGTGGTGCAGGGGCTGGGAAGGACTTCCAAATGACTTTGCAGCAAAGAGTCCCTCTCCCAGGGCTACAGCAAGTCTGGACCAGCAGGGCTCCCTCCCAGCGCTCACCGCAGGGGCAGACTAGACCCCCCCAGGGCCGGGCCAGCCAGGGCAGCACACACCTGCTGGGGACAAGTGGGGAGCGCCCAGGTACCTGGAGGGGGACAGCTAGGGGACAGGAATCCTCCCTGGAAGCAGCAGCCCAGGCTGAGCCCACCGTAGTAGCCCTTGCCCCTGACCTCTAGTCAGAAGGGTCCCCACCTGCTTCCTAGGGCACAGCCTGGGCCTGTGAGGGTGGCCTGGCACCCACAGTGCCTGCTGTCCTTCTCCCCAACCTGAACTACCGTCCAAGGCTGGACGAGGTGACAGTGTGAACTCTGCTCAGATTCCGAAACCCGTCCGCCCGGGCAGGAGCCCCAGCCCCAGGCTGCCCTGGACCAGGACGATGTGAGGGCGATCTGGCCGTGACACCTGTCACCCCACTGATCGCCAGGGCTGATTCGGTTATCTGGCTGACCAGGTGGGGTCCCTTCCTTCCTCAGAGTTGGCTCGGTGGAGGAGGAGGAGGAGCACCCTGGATAGAGGAGGACGTTCCTTGGCCAAGGAGACAGAACAGCACACTCCCCAGCTAGAACCTCCCAACAAGCCCTCAAGCAGACCAGGACACTCAAAGCCCAGCACAGCTATGGGCCCGGGAAAAATGAGAACTCGATCCGTCCCTCTTGGGCCCCACTTCTGCTAGTCAGACCCGAGGTGGGCAGGCAGAGCCCTGGCTGCCGGGCCTATTTGGGGCGGAGGGCGCTGAGTGGGGACTCAGGAACAGTGAAATCATCTGCTGCCAAAGCCTTGCACGAGAGCCTGGGGGCCTCTGCCTCAGGCGGGGCGGTTGGGGGGACACAGCCAGGCAGGCAGTTGCTGGGGTTCAAAGCCACACTCTGCCCACCCCAGGCTCACCTTGGCCAGCCTTCCACCCAGGCTCACCTTGGCCAGCCTTCCACCCAGGCTCCACCTGTCTCTGTCGGGACCTCTGTCTTTCTGCAAAACCCAGAGGCGCCTTTGCAAGGACAGCCAGGCCGCTGGTCAGCCAAGTCCCCGGCTCCAGTCCCACCGAGAACCTCAGTGCCATGCAGCAGCAAGACGGAAGTGAGTGACGGGGTGTCAGAGCAGCGCCCCAGAACTGAGGCTGCTCTGCTCTTTCCTACCCACATGGGCACGGCAAGGTGTGGCCACAAAGGCAGGAGGCGAGGAGACTGGTCTTCAGGGCTGCCATGGACAGGGCCGCTCCAGGCAGCGGGGAGAGGTACAGCGCCCACCCTCGTTTGCCCATGTGTCCTTCAAGGCTGGGCTGCGAGTCCTGGCCCCGTGGACCTCACCTGCCTCTCACAGCCTGGCCTGCGAGCCCCGAGTCAGAGTTTCCCCACCCGCTCACCTGCAAGGTACCAGGGACAGAGGCAGGGTCTGCATTTCTCTTTGCCCCTGACCCTGTACAGAGCTTCTAGTACCCAGTCCAATACCCAGCGAGGAGAGGGCAGAAGGCTGAGGAGTAGCCGTGGGGGGAAGAAAGAAAAAGAGAAGAGGCGACGAGAAAGGGGGCAGCTGGGAAGGAGGAGGAGGAGACAGGAGCCCGGCTTCCCCCAGGTCCGAGGCTGCGGGCTCTGGACACCTGTACCCACGGAAGCGGGCGCAGGCCGAGCTGGACTCCATACCACTGCGACAGCAGCATGGGACTGTGCCAAGCTGGGTGCCGGGCCACCCTGCTCCCCAAGGGTCCAGCTCCCACTCTCGAGGGGATCTTGGGCACGTCACCAAAGCTTCCCTGTAACAGTCCCCACCTCACAGGATGAGTGGGGACGTGAAGAACACGTCAGAAATTAGTTACCAGTTATGATCATTATGATTATATTACTGGGTAAGAACCGATGCTTTAAATGTAGTCATGGCTCAAGAATTGCAATCACATGATAGAATTCCAGAGCTCAAGGTGACCCTAGCTGTCAGCACCTGCAAAAGTTGCTCATGCCACAGCCGAGGAGGTGATGCGCAAGGGCACCCGGCTGGAAGCAGACACAGGCCCATGCCCAGGTGCCCTGACCCAGGGTGACACTGTTCACTCACTATTTAGCACTGCTGAGGCAGAAACCACAGCTGGCGAGAGACAGGACCAGGTATTAACAAGGACAGGAGCCAGAAGGGACCGCGCCACCATGAGATCGGCAAAGGCCTTGGGGAGAGCCAGACGGCACCTGGGAGGGCTGCAGTGGGCAGGAAACAGGGGACCCCCTGGCAGAGGCTGCCCCAAGCAGCACAGAGGTGTGCAAAGCTCTCACACGGCTCTGGTGGCTTCCACCACTCTGGCCCCAAACCCAGGCCAGCGTCCAGCCCTTGTTGCTGGCCAGTCATTTGGGCGTCCATGCCAAGTCGCGTCACCAGACCCAATGCCCAACAGGCAGCAGAGAGGATGTGGGCTCTGCCAGCAGGCACCCCGAGGGCCGGCTGGTTGCAGAGCAGGGCACACAGCAGGCCCAGCGGGCCTCCCAGCCCAGCCCACAGGGCCCGATCCTCCCCCTCGACACCATGGACAGCGTACTGGCCACTTACACACCTTCCGCGTCCACCGTCTCCTTCATGATGATCTCCACCCGCTCCACGTGGTGCCGGTTCCAGAGGCCGTCCAGGGCCTTGCGGTTCTGGTCTCGGAAGGGCAGGATCTGAGCCACAGCCTATCAGGGAGAAGAGGCTCGTGTCCGGCAGGGACCATGGAGTGCCGGCTTCCCAGGGCTCAGCCCTCTCAGGGCTACTCAGGGGAGGACACGTGCTCTCGCACAAACTCAGAGTGTCACTGCCCAGTAAAGATCCCGCAGGGCCAAGCTTGATGGCACATGCCTGGAATCCTAGCACTCAGGAGGCTGAGGCAGGAGGATCGCTGAGAATTCCAGGCCAGCCTGAACTACACAGTGAGACCCTGCCTCAGACAAAACAAAACCAACCAACAAACAAGATGCCACAAGCAGAATGACCTAAACAGTTACCAGTCACAAAGAACACACTGAGAATTACCTGTGTTCTAAAGAAAGGTATTTCAATGCCAAAAAATGTAGCAAGCAACACTACCCAAGGTTACACTTGGGATTTCTTCTCCGTTTGAAGTCAGCAAGGACCGGGGACTTGTTCTCTGGGACTGTCTATAGCAACTGCCCGTGTTGGATGGGAAATAAAGTGCCTGGCACAGTGACAGCTTCCTGGAGCTGACAGGTGGCCAGCTCAGCGGCCTGAGGACCCAGCATGCCGACCACCGACCTGCCACCCCCAAGGGTGCCCCAGGCTCCTGCCTCGGGATTCCACTGAGTTTCGTGGGTTCAGGGCCCACTGCACACCCCAGCAGTTTCCAGATCTCCTCACCAGCCATCTGGCTCAAAACAGAATTCAGGAAGACAAGGATTCCGATAAGGGCAGCCGGGGTAAGACTGAGTTCCAAACCCCACAGTCACACTTCCTGTCCACCTGTGGGGTCGCTGCGGGCCTCCTGACTCTACAATACGCGGCCGGCCCTGCCAATGGGCTCCCCTGGCTCCCAGGGGCGGCTCACCTGCTTGCCCAGGTAGTGGTCCACCCTGTACATCTCCTCCTCCTGGAAGAAGCTCCCGAGCTCGGTGGCCAGCTGCTGGGCCGAGAGGTGGTCGTGGCCGAAGGGCTTCTCCAGGACGACCCGCAGCCAGGCGCCGGGGCCCGGCCGGCAGCTGGCGTTGATGTTGCGGGCAATGTCTGCGTAGGCAAAGGGCGGCACGGAGAAGTAGAAGATCCTGCCGGCCTCCCGGAGGCCCTCCCGCGCCACCTGCGCCTCGATGTCCTTGCTCAGCGTCTGGTAGTCCTCGGCCGTCTTCAGCTGGCGGTACTGGCTCAGCCGCAGGAACTGGTCCTTGAGTGCGGCGCAGTGGCTGGGTGCCGTGTCCTCGGGGCAGGAGAGGGATTCCAGGGCCTTGGCCATGAGCTCCTGGCCCTGCCTGGGGGCCGTCAGAGCGGCCCCATGGAAGCTGAAAGTGTGGCCCTTGCCCTCCTCATCCAGGTAGAGCTGGAAGAGTCCCTGCCACAAGTACTTCTTGGCCAGGTCTCCGGTGGCCCCCAGCAGGACGATGGACACGTGACCGTGGAGTTCCTGGGCCTGCAGGCAGCCCGCAAGGGCCACACACATGGCCACCATGAGCATCTTCCAAAGGCCTGGGTGCCTGCGGAGCACGGAAAAAACAGGCAGGGACAAGGAGGGGTCAGACCCACGTGGGTGGCCCACATGGAAAGCCCACGCGTGTCTAGGGGTGGTGAGCACCAGACTCTGGTATCCTGGGAAAGAGTCACAGGCCTGTGTTGTCCCCGCCCTTCTGAGCAGCGAGGCTTCTGTGCCAGGTGGGCAACGATCGGGAGACCGCCCATAAACAGGGATTATGCCTGGGAAAGTCACGGGCCATGAGGTGGCGACAGATCATTCGGCTGCCAAGAGCCTGGGCAGGAGCGAAGCCACCAGAGATGCGGCCAGAGAGGCTGGGACTACAGCGCCCACCGGATGACCCCGGCCAGTGTCACCCAGAAGAATGGGCCAATCGGCTGGCCTTTGCCCAGGAGCGGTGGCCACAGGTGACCACAGCTGAGTGGCGGGAGGACATGACCTCTTCTCACCTCTCATGTGGCTCATGCCCATGTTTACCAGGCACAAAGGGACTGCTAAGGGGTTCAGCACAGGGGTGAAAGACAGATCTGGGGCTAGGTTGGGGCCAGGTGCCAGAGCGCAGTGCCCAGCACTGCAGAAGGGGAAAAACTGAGTTCCAGGGTTCTGGAACTCACTGCCAGCTGGGAATTCCAATCCGACCCCTTCCTACCTGGACAGTTAATTCAACCTGGCCGTGTCTCTGCTTCCCCGGCATGAGTAACACCTGGAACACACTTGGGCCAGTGTCCACCACCTCCCCAGCGCCCGCCCTGGAGGCGGTCAGGATGGAATGTTAGTATCAGCAGCCAGCGTCTAGGTCTCGTGGGAGCCCAGCGTGGAGCCACAAATCATGGGGTGTTAGGTCTCCCCACATCCACACCAGAGCCCTACACGGAGCAGATTCCACTTTGCAGACGGCAAAGCTAAGGCTTAGCAGGATGACACTCCCACAGGGAGGAAACGGGGTGCAGAGATTGAGAGCTCCCCGGCTCCTGGGCAGCCCTGTGGGAACAAACTACTGTGCACTTCTGAGCAGGACACAAATGCTAAGCGTTTGCTTCCCCTGGACTCCAAGTGGGGCCTACGGGCCGGTTTGCACCCCCTGAGCCCCATTCCAGGTGTCCCATTCCGCACAGAGGCTGGGCTTTGGGAAGGGACAGGAGGACAGGAGAGAAGCCACCATGTTTGGCAGAAGTAGCGGTGGAAACGGGGCCACATCAGGGCAGAAGACTGAAGGGGCACCACGGTGACAGACAGCATCGTCATCCGCCACCGTGCCACCCGGCAGAGGGTTGACAGGTCAAGAGCAGCTGTCATCCGGACAGGGAAACTGAGGTTGGAAAGGAAACCTGGACTTACAAAACGCCGGCCTGCTGCCCACCAGCCCTGCACAGAGGGGACGGAACTTGCCTCTTGACACGGCCTGCCCTCCCAAGCTCCATCTCCCCCAGGTGGCCCTAGTTATGGCCAAGATGAAGGCCCCATCTGTAGGTGCCTGCACCAGCGTCCTCTGGGCGACTGGCCTGTCCCTGACCACAGGACCCCACCCGGCTCCTGTCCTCCTGTCCCTCTCCCTTCAGCTGCTCCTGCTGCCGAATGCACAGAGGGACCCGCCCGTCCCCTTCTGCTGCCCGGTCCCCGCCCTTCGCCCTGCAGCGAGCGATCCCGCTGCCAGAGGGAAGCGAACGCCGCAAGGTCAGTGCAGGAGAGCAGAGCGGCGGGGAGAAACCCGAGGCCCACAGAACGGCCCAGGGGAGGAGCGGCGCCAGCTGGCAGCCGCACCTCAGACTTCTGATCCGAGCCTGGCACGAGGGCGGAGCTCGGGAGCCCGCAGCGTCCCGTGGGCAGGTGGGGGCCAAGGCCGGCACCCTGCCCCAGGGAGACCTCGGACAGCCCAGATGGACGGCACCAGGGCCACGCTGCCTCTGTCCTCTCCTTAGCCCACTTCCTGTTCCAAAGGCCACCGTCCTCCTGGGCCAGCCCCGACCGGACAGCTGCCCTTATTTACATCCCAGCCCTCCTTCAAGCACACACAGTACCAGCTTTCAACACACTTGATTACCCTGGTTGCTAAATAACTCCTTCCTAAATCAGCGTCAGTAGCGTGGCAGGGGAGTGTGTGTGTGTGTGTGTGTGTGTGTGTGTGTGTGTGTGTGTGTGTGACAGTGTTGCTCAACTTTCCTGTGCATTTGTCTTTCTTGGAATTTTTTTTCTTTTTGAGACAGGTCTCACTCTGCATTTTAAACTGGCATTGAACTCACGGCGATCCTCCTGCCTCAGCGTCCTGAATACTTGGATTAGAGGCTGGACCACCATGCTGGCTATCCTGGGATCTTTTCAAATCCCGATTCTAAAACAGAAGCTCCGGGAAGGGGCCTGAGGAGCCGACACTGAGTATCCAAGGAGCACACTTGGGGTACCCAGCAGGACTCAGAAGCAACACGCACACATCAAAACCGAGCATGGTGGCACACAAGGGGAATCCCAGCTACTGTGGAGACCAAGACAGGAGAATTCTAAGTTAGAGGCCAGCCTGGGCTTCTGAGGGAGACCCTGTCTCAAAATAAAATAGTAATTTTTTTAAAGGCTGGGGATGGAATTCCTTGCCTAGCACGAAATCTCCAGGGCTTATGGGCCAAAAGCACACGCCTGTCCCCTGTCCCCGCTCTCACCGCCAAGACAGCACAGCTCTGGTTGGGCAGCTGCTGGGCAGGCCCAAGTCAGATAATAAAGACCTGTGTTGGCCGCATGGCCAGCCCAGAGCTGGCGGTTCAGACTGACCCCTCAAGTGCCCCTCGCCGGGGTGAGGCGGGGTCTGCGATGATTTTCACTCTGCCAAGGAAGAATCGGAGGAAAGGCCAAAGCCAGGGTCACGGCAGTCACAGGCAGCACAGAGTCGCCAGTCCCAACACCCGGCTCATCCCGGCTTCCTAGCTGTTCCACCCCATTAAAACGGATCCATTTGAAACCATGAAACAGGACTGATGCCACCAGGCGGAACGAGGCAGGGCTGTGAATGCAAGTGGTGACGGTGCATGCGACGGAATCACTCCACAGCGGTCAGGGATGAGGCCAGGTCTGTTGAGAAGCCTCCCGACTGGAGGGCTGCACAGAAAATTCGCTACGCCCAGAGCCAGACCCCACAGAAGAGAGGCCTGGCCTGCTCAGCCCCTCCCCGACACAGGAGGAGGAGGAAGGGGACCAGAAGCCAGCACCACCGAGGCACAGGCCAGGTCCTGGGCTAAGGGACGCCTGCAGGTCTTTTTAAAAGCCCCTCTTCTCCCTCTGGCCACCTTCCCTGCAGTGAGCAGACAGTAAAATAAATCCACCAAAACTGCAGACTGAAGTGCACCCCAAAGCCTAGAAGCGGCCATTGAATGAATTTTCTTCTTTTTTTAAAAATTCAGAAATCGACCCAAAGCCTTTAGGGAGAAGCTGGAGACACTGGAGGACGAGGCCAGGGTACTGGACTGGAAACGAGACTCTCGGTCCTGCTGTCCAGCACCCAAACACCAAGCAACCTTGAACAAGTCCTTAGCCGAGTGGGGGGCCCCGGCTCATTCCCCTGTGCTTTACAAGGGAAGGGGTCCCCACCCTGTGAGCAGCCGGGTGGGGGCTGAGGGTGGGGAATATAGGATGATAATGAAGAGGGGTGTCTGGCTCCCGGGGCACTCAGAAGCACGGGCCTGGAGCAGAAGACGACAACCCTCTCGCCTGAGAGCCGCCGGGAGGCACTGTGCTCATCCTAAGCACAGGGAAGGGGGGCGAGAGGCTGTGTGCTGCTGGCTCCCCCACACCCAGGATGAACTGTGGGCACCAGGACCCCGTCCCGGACCCAGGGCTGCCCGGCTGCAGTCTGAGGCCATGCTGGCGGGGACTCACCTGTCAGACAAGGGCATAGCGGGGGCCGCAGCCTGGCCGGCCAGGAGCTGAGGTCAGAATACAGCTCTGGGCAAGAGGCAGCCACGGCCAGTGCCACACAGCTGCCCAGCACAGCAGCCTCTGGTCAGCACGGGAAAAGCCGCTCTGAACCTGGCCTGGCACATGCGGGCAGGGGGCAGAGAGCACGGGGTGGGGTGGGGTGGGGTCAGGGAGCTGAGGTTTCCTTCCTGCTCCCCCTCCCGGGCCTTGGCCAAAGCCACCTCTGGACCTCGGGGCAGGAGGGAGGCGGTCAGGGAATCGCAGCTCCTGAGTCTGTTCTAAAAAGTACACGAGCACAGCCCGCATTCCTGCGTTTTTTAGAGGTACTAAAGGTTAAACCCAGGGCTCATGCATGCTCTGAACCCTCTAGATCACTGAGCTACATCCCTGCGCCCCGCTCCTCCTTAGGGACCAACCGTGGTTCCCCAGGATCAAGGATTCGTGTGCTAGAGCCACTGTGTCAACGGACAAATGTTCAGGAATTTCTAAAGTCAGCTGTTAAGCAGCCGTTCTTACAAATGAAATCATATTAGTGAATAATTAAATAATTGATATTAAAAACAAAAGTAGTTGGTTGTGGTGGTGCACAGCTGTAATCCCCCACTTGGGAGGCTGAGGCAGGAGGGTTGCCATGGGTTCCAGCCCAGCCTGAACTACATCATGAGGCCCTGTCTCAACTCCCCCTCCCCCAAAAAACGTTTTAAAAAGTAATTAAAACCCAAGTCCTCCCCGTCACTTAATGACTCTTTCCTACCATCCAAGCCACTGTTGTCTAGGAGGTAAAAACATCCCTTGTGGTGTGCTTGACTGGCCCAGTGTGGGTCTGGCATGCCCCAGGGCCTGGCAAAGGCCAAGCCATGACTGTTAAACATTCACTGGAGCACAGCCGAGGGCCTGATGTCCTTTCTTCCTGGTACAATCGATCACTACTCTGGGACAGCTGATAGTTAGCTGGACGCCTACCAGACGTCACAGCGTCAAAACGGAGTCACTCTGGCCTCACAGGCTGCTTCCCCCATGCTCAGTACCAGCAGCTCTACCCAGCCAGGGGTTCACAGCCCCAGACTCAGGGCCGTGTGATCTGTGGATCGATGTTAGAAGTGTCCTCCACACTCTGTTCTACAGTTCAGCCTCAGTGCCACAGCCAGGGTGATCTCATACACTGCTGGGTTGGATGCTGTCATCTTCGGTTCAGAGATCCAAAGGGTCCACACGTTCCTGGTCTCCCGCCAAGCACCTCTCTGACCTGCCTCCTACTCTTCTGCCTCTCTGGCAGCTCCAACTGCCCACTCTCCCACCTCAGGGCCTTTGCACCTGCTGCGCCCCCCGCCTGGCCTACTTGCCTCCTCTTTTCTTCATGTTATCCACTCCTCAGTGCTTCAGCTCTTGGCGGAAACATTAGCAGCTCTGTGAGGTTTCCTCAGGCCTCTGTTACCCTGTGACCCTACAGCTCTTCCCCTGTTCTGTCACACTCTGAAACAGACACCAGTGATTGCATTTAACCTGCCAGATGCTTGCCATTCTTCCCTCTAAGAGAGGAAGCTCAGTGGGGAAGTGCAGAGAGCTCATGCCTGTCCTGCCCACTGCACTATCCCTAGGCCCCGGCACAGAAAGTCTCTCTACACATTTCCTAGAGGGAAAAATAATCAGGAAATGCCATTTGCACAGATAAATCCATGAAGCCCCACGGCCACCCTGTATACGAGGGACCCGCATGGGAACAACCACACAGAGGGAGGATGTGAATGGGACGTGGCGTGCTAAGGCCCCCCGCACACCAGCAGCTGCTCAGGACTCACTCTAATACTATTAATAATAAGAGCTATTTATATATCGGGCGTCGTGGTGTGCCCGATGCCAGGCTGAGAATTTGACACCCATCACACCGATTAATCCTCGTCCCAGCTCTGTGGTGGGTACTGAACCACCCCATGTTCAGCACAAGACGAGAGGAGATGCAAGTGCGGAGGGGAAATCACCCGCTGGCGGCCAGACAGACGGCTGGGGCGGGGGGGACAGGGTTAGACACCTAACTGCGGAAGGGATGGCTATGTCCTCCCACAGTGAAATCCAAAACAGTCTTAGACACCAGTTCTGTGTCTTCTCAAGGTAGGAGCCACGGTGGCCTGAACCTATACAGGCGCCTTCGGTCACGAACACAAATGGCTGCTAAGTGGCCCGGCCAGCTGTCCACTTGGCTGGCCTCTCATGCCCCCTCCTTCTGACATTACCAAGACTGCGCACAGAAGCCTGAGTTGACCCTGTAAACCTGGGCGGCCCTGGGGATGGTGGCCTCAGACAAGTTATTTAACCGCTCTGTACCTCCACCAGAGGACGGGAAAACCAGCCGGTCACCAGTGCAGGGAGATAATCCTCCTGAGGCGCTTAGCGCAATGCTTGGCAGACAGGAAGCACTCAAGAAATGCGAGCTTCCGGCCCCGAACACTACCATCTTGAACCAAGGCTCTCCTCGCCAGCATCTTGGAACAACTAGAAAACCACGGGAGCATCTCACGACAGCAAAGACACCAAGGAGCGGCCCATGACGGCTTCCCTGGGCCTTTGTGCCATAGCAGTAAAAACGGTAAAGGGGGACGACATGGATGTGATTGAAATGTCCCAAAGTCGGGCCTTAGTAAGGGCTTGGATGGCTAGAACAAGCACAAAGGGAAACCTCTGCCCCTGTGGCCCTGCGCCTCCGCTGCATTGCCCTGGGCCTCCTTCTCCAGCTGTGAGGTGGACACAACCTACTCATTTCAAGGTCTGGCCAGAGCAAACCAGAACCAGATGCACCCACAAATGCTGCTGGCAGGACACGGTGCTGAGATAGCTCCTGAAGCCACCGTCACTGATCCCCAAAAGCAACACCGGACACCTGCTGTTGGGCAGGTCAGGGTGTGGCCTGGCCACAGCCAATGACACTGTTGCCCTGTGCGGATTCCATAAATGGAGTAGTGACCCGACCAGGGGTGATAAAGACACCCTTGTTTCCTTTTGAAATGGTTCAACCGTCCAGATAGTAACTTAGTAAACTCCCAAAGTTCCCCAGCGCAGTGTCTGGTTAAGCAGCCTTGTGTCTCAGAGAACCCCTCCAGCAGGTGTTATCTGAAAGCTGAGGGGTGCCGTGCCAGGAACAGCCTTGGGATCAGGCGCTCCCCGCATTTATCCGCAGATGAGCCGCACGCCTCTCTGCAGAATGTAGGCTAGAGATGAAAATGCCCTTCCACACCGCGCTGCCCTCGGCTCCTGTCCAGGGCCACCACGGCCGCCGGGAGACGTGGGGCGCAGATCCTGGCCTCCTCTTGCCCGGGATCCTATTTCTGGCTCCCGAGAGGCTGACCTCCCGGAAGGCACACCCTGGATCTGTGTCTCGGAAACGCTGTTTGCACGGAGGGCCAGCGCCAGAGCTCGGCGGAGCGCACGGGGAAGCACAGAGCTCCACCTTTGGACGTCATTGTAGGAAGCCTAGCAAGAGGCGCGCGGGGACCTTGGGTGACCCCGGAAGGGCTCCGGCTCCCCCAGGAACACCCCCAGGCGGGCTCCGCGGGTGGCGACCCCATGCTGGCCGTGCAAGGAGGCCGGGCGCGGGCGCGGGTGGGGCGCGAGTGGCGCCCCGGACAGCGATCGGGAGGGCGAGGGGTGCAGCTTACTTCATCCGCGGGGCCCGCGCCGCCTCTTCTCGGGGTGCGCGCCTCCGAGTCCGGCCCGCGTCCGGCCCAGCCTGCCGGGCCTCAGGCCCCGGGCGCGCGCCGTGGCCCGCGGCGGAGGACGAGCGCGCGCAGTGGCAGCTGCCGGGGGCGCGCGGAGGGGGCGGGGCCGTGGGCGGGCCCTCCACGCCCTCGGGTGACGTCACCCTGGTGGGCGGGGCCTCGGCCGGACCTCTCCGCGGCTCGCACCTCTGCGCGCTCGGTCCATCGCGGAGCTGCTCGCGGGATGCGGAGGGACAGGGATGTGCCGCAGAGCAGACCCGCAGCCTGGTTTTGGTCCTGCTCGGGGACCGGCACAGGTTACCTGACCTCTCCAGCCCTAACGCTCGCTGACCTTGCTTTACGCCTAACCCCCATCTGGGGGCCGAGTGGCCGACGTGCACCCCATCGCCAGTCCTCGGGGTGGAGGTCAGGATCCGGGTTGGAGGTCAGGATCCGGGTTGGAGGTCAGGACGGCCAACCTTACTACGGCCCCCGGCAGCCTGATGTCACACCGCTCGGTCCCTGTGCAGGGGTCTGTGCTGTCTCTATGCGGTGGGCTTATGGGAAAATCTCCCCTGTAGGTGACTGGCACAGGGTAGGGCAGAGTGGATGGGTCCTCCCCCGTGTGATTTTAACCAGGACGGTGCAGGTAGTCATAAATCTCAGCGCTGTGGGAGGCTGAGACAGGACTGCAAGCCAGACTTGTCTCCAAACAACAGTAACAAAAACCAGTTAGGGGGGAGGTAGCTCAGAGTGTCGGCTCTGGGGCTCTGGGTTCAGTCCCAGGCTGGAGCGGTGGTTCTCGGGGTGACAGGTGTGTGTAACTGGAGTGACAGGACCAGCCTTCCGGCCCAGCAAGCCTCACATGGTAATTCCTGTCCTCCGTCTGTCCCTCTCCATCACGGTGCCATAGGAGCAGGTGACCCTCCCCCTGTCCTGTCCACCCCATGTCCGCTTTTCTTCTGCCCTACAGTTCTGTCAGTGCCCCGGTTGTGCTCTGTCCCTGAGCAGAAGCCCAGTGGCCTGGGCTAATTAAGTCAGGACCGCTGCTGCCCTGGCCAGCCAGACTGCTTGGGGTGCCAGCCCCATGTCTACCCCAGTACCTAAGACCGTGTGACCATCTCTGCCCAAGACCACTGGGCTGCTCAGGAGAGCAGCAATGGGCTAACTTTTGTGTACCCTGCAGCCGGGTGATGCCAGGCCTGGGGAGCCCTTCCCGCATCCTGGGACCCTGTGAAACGGGGCTTCCAGAGCCAGGCCCAGGGAAGCAGTGGATGGGTGCGCAAATCCCCAGATGCTGACAGGCACAAGAAGGACTTGTCCCAGATCTCTGTGCACCCACTGCAGGTGACCTTCTGTGACCTTGAAGGTAATTTAAAGCTATCTGCAGAGCACCTGAGTTGTAACCAGCGTAACCAAGAAAATGTCCCTGTGCCCACCTCACCCCCTTGAAGGGTGTCATGGGGTGGGGGCTGGAGACAGCCCACGCCCGGAGTCTCCCCTGTGCAGCCCCTGCTGCCCCCGATCCCACACTACCTGGAGATGTGAGCGAGCGTTCTCCACCTGCTTCCTCCCCATCTCCCTCCCGGTCTCATCTGTTGGGGGCCACTGGCCTGTTCTCTTTCTGTCCCGAGGCAGTTTGGACCCACTAAACCCCAGTCACCCGGGTTGCAGTGTGTGGCCTCCCAAACCAATGTCCATCCCAGTGCTCCGGGAGGCTGAGGCAGGAGGATGGCAATTTCGAGCCCAGCCTGGGCAACTTAGCAACTTACTGTGTCTGTGTCTCAAGTGTTTAAAAAGAGAAAAAATGACCAAGGATGTAGGTCAGTGTGAAGGCCCTGGGTTCAATCCCCAGTACTGGAAAAATAAATAAACGCCCAGTACCATGCCTTCACCTTCTGAATCTTTTTTCGTTTCCGTGGGAACCTTGGCTCTGGTACTCTCAGGGCTACAAGGGGCCAGGGGTGCCCAAAATCCATGAAGGAAGCCGGAAAAGATTGAGGCGGGAGGGAGGGGTGCTGTGGCCCAGCTGTGTCTTTGGGTTCTCTTGTGCGGGATAAAGAACCCCCTGGGCTCTGTGTAAGAGGCTGGTTATTTGGGGGTTTTCCCCTCAGTCCCTAACCTTGAGGGAGGCAGGACCCAGGGCTAACTCAGCGAGGCCCAGAGCCATGCATGACTCACCCATGTCTTCGGGTTCAAAATACAACACGGGCGCAGCTGCTATTTTGGGGCGCGGCTCCCTGCACCAGCTCCATTCCGCCTGCTCGGCTGTCCCGGGGTGGGGAGGGCGGAAACAGGTGTCACGGATTCTCGTCCTGGACTCCAGGGACCTCAGCACACTTTTTTCCTTTTTTAAAACAGGCTGCACAAAGTAGGCATGGGTTCGTTTCCCACCGGGGCTGTGACACGGAAGTTCTCCGCAGAGACCGAGTCGGTGTCCAGGGGCCTCTGGATTGATTCAATTTTGCTGATTGGAACCTCCAAGACTTCGGAGAGAGGATACCACCTGAAAGTCAAGGTGGTATTGGATCCCGTATCTTCGATCCCGTTTGATAACCACATGGTCAGCTGGTTTGTTTTGTCTTGTTTTGTTTTGTTTTGTTTTGTTTTCGAGTGTCCTGGAGAATGTATGTTGAGCTGTATCCCCAGCCCTTTGTAATATTTGAGACAAGGTCTTGCCAAGCTGCCCAGGCTGGACTTGGACTTTCCTGCCTCAGCCTCCCGGAGAGCTGGGATCACGGGTGGGCACCACCACCCCGGCCAACAGCCTTTGTACCCCACCTGCTTGAGGCCCCACCTATTTTCCCAGGGGAACCACATCTTTCTGAGTCTCTTGGTTTGGCTCAAAATAAACTATTTTCTTTATCTCAGCATTTTTTATTTTAACATCAGCACAGTTTATCGTGGCTAAACAACAAAGACTTATTATCTCATGTCGTGGAGGTCGGAAGTCTAACGTGCGTCTCGCTGGGCTGAATCGGGGGTCAGGACTGAGCTCCTCTGTGGAGACCCCTCCTTCCTCCCGTCCTTCGTCATCCTCTTCCTCCTCCCCTCCTCCTCCTTCTCCTGGTCCTCATCTTTTTAGGGATTAAATCCAGCACCTTCCCGCTGAGACGCATCCCCAGCCCTTTGTAATTTTGAAACCGGGACTCATTAAAATCACCCAGGCTGAGTTTAAATTTGGGATCCTCCTGCCTCAGCCTCCAAGAATGCCTCAATTACCAGCAAAGGCTGCCACGTCCAGCTTCGCTGTCTTGCTTGTGTCTGCTCAAGGCTCAACCATATCACTCAGAGTCGTGGTTTTAGGACAGAAAGCGCCGTTCCCTTGCTGATCCTTGGAAGGTCAGCCTTGGAAGACCCCAGCTGTGGCCCCCTCCCGCAATGTCCTGGCCACCGCCCAAGGCTGGGGTGCTGTGGCGGCTCCACCTTCCCCGGGGACAGCTCTCTGACTGGGCAGGGAAGGGTCTCGGCTGCTGGTGACTCTGGCGATTAGACCAGGCTCCTCTTGGGATCTGAAGTCGGCTCCCAGCTCGGGGTCCGTACCCTTGGTCACTTCTGGACAGTCCCTTTGCCTAGGAAGGTGTCAGTCAGGGCGTCAGGGCCC